TTCGAGACAGGGTTTCTCTGTGTAGCTTTGCACCTTTTCCTGGAACTCACTTGGTAGTCCAGGCTGGCCTCGAACTCACAGAGATCCACCTGGTTCTGCCTCCCGAGTGCTGGGATTAAAGGCGTGCGCCACCACCGCCCGGCGGTCTTTTTTAATTACTTGTATGTGTTTGTTGTCTGTGTGTGGTTATGTGAACGTGTGAATGCAGGTGTCTGAAGATGCCAGAATAGATCCCTTACAGCTGGAGTTACAGGCAGTTGTGAGCCATGTGATAGTGGTGCTGGGAACCCAACCCCTGCTCTATCCTCTTCCCCACGCCCATCTATGCAAGAGCAGTACATGCTCTTAACCACTGAGCCATCTTTACAGTCCTGAGACTTGTCTTTAAAAAAAAAGTCACAAAACAAAGTCACACAAACAAAACACACATTCACCACACAGGATACACTGACCTCTCTGTCTCACAAACCGAATCATCTGCAAAGTTGTGGCAAATCCCTGCCATGTTCCTCAACTGTGTATGTACGCATACACGTGCACCAAACGGGATTCACTGCCTACTCTTTCACAACAGAGGCACAAAGCCTCTTTCTACCACACCCACATGCATGCGCAACAGGTCACAAATGCCCAGCTCACACAGCACACAGTTTCCTGTTCTTTCCTCCTCCGCACCTGCGCAGCAGGCATGAGGAGAAAGTTTCTCTACTGCAAGTGCCCACGCCTACCGGACCTTCGTTCGACTTCTCTTTCCTTCGCCCCTCTCTCGATTGCGCGCGCACGTGTACACACACACACACACACACACACACACACACACACACACACACACGAGTAACAATCCCCAAATATAGTCCTCTGTCTTTCCACATAAACACACAGGCATGCAAGAATCCATCCCTTCCCCCTTTTCCCGTCTCCTCCTCTCCTCCCTCCCTCCCTCCCTCCCTTCTTGCACACACACACACTTGCAGCTGCAGCGAACAGGGTCATACTTCAGTGCAGGCGCCAGGCAGGAGACAAAGGTCGCCAAGACTCCCAGAGCCCCAACTGGGCATAGGTGGACCTGTCGCCGGCTCCATCTGTCCCTAGAAGCGGGTCCTGGGGAGGTCTAGTCTCGGCATCCGAAGCTACAGGATTGGGCGCGCGCTCCTGGACCCGCCGGCAACCCAGACAGCCAGGGTCTCCTGTTCTCCAGCATGCCACGGGTTAAGAAGCCTAAGGGGGCGGGGGAGTCCGGCCTACGCGCCTGATTGGCTGTTGCTCCCCGGGCCCGCAGCCCCCGCGCCTCGGTATTGGTTCGCGGAGGGCCCCGCCCCCTGGCCTAGGCGCCCGAGCAGCGCGCGCCGCCCCGGCAGCTAGCCGCGCCGTGCGAGCTGAGAGCGCATCGCATCGCCCAGCAGCCGAAGCCGAAGCCGGAGCCCCAGCGGGAGGCGCAGCCAGAGCCGGGTCGTTCGGAGCCCGCGAGCAATGGTGAGTACGCCCGCAGCCCGCCGGGACTCCGTGCAGCCCCGACGGTCCCAGCAGTAGCGCGGCGGTGGCATCCTGGCCGGCTCGCGGGGGGCTGGGCGTCCCCTGCAGCTGCGGCCCGCGACCCGCTGTACTCAGGCGTGGAGCCGGGGGTCGTTCGGGCCGCGAGTACCTTGGTTCTGGGCTGCTAGTTCTGGCCTTGCGTGGAAGACTTAGGGTGGCGCGTTGGGTTTGGGGGGGGGGTGACAGTTGGTGAGATAGGTTTGGGATATGTGTAGGTCTCTGAGCTTGGTTTGGCGTGGAGACCTTGGGCAGCCAGGCCGGGTCGATTCAGAGATGTCAGGGTTCAGCTGGCCTTGAGCTCAAGTGCATAGTTCAAGTGGGTTTGGGGTTCGAGAACGCTCTGTACATCTTGGGAGACTGAATACTTTTCTCCTGCTGCTTGCTGATCCTACTGTGGCTCATGGGGTGGGGTGGCACAGAGAGGAGGGGACGGTCTGAGGTTCTGCGAGTTATCTGGTGTTCCCAGCATCTCCTCAGAGGAGGGGCCAAGTGCTGACTCCTTTGGGCAAAAGCACCAGAGTAAAGGGGATCCTTGAGGGAGGGGATTTCGTTGGGGGCTTAAGCCTCAGGAGTGACATCCATCTAATCCAGTTGCTTTTGAGAGCTTCTGGGAGGTGAGTTGTCTCTGGCCCAGAGCCAAGGCTTCAGGTTGCCTTTCCAGGGCCTGTTATTGCCTCCATCACATGCCAGGTGTGCTTCTCTCCCTGTGGACCTCTGATTGCCTCCTCTAGAGCTGGCTCTTTGGCCTGTGCACAGGATCCAAGGCACCCTGTCTGGCCTGAGATCTGTCTGGGCTCTCTGTGGTTGGTCTCAGAGACTTGCCTACCTCTATGATGTCACTTCCAAGCTTGAGGGGTTCAGTGAGAAATGGAGGGGTACATAGAGCTGAAAAGGCTGCCGTGACAGCTCTAGGACCAGCAACCCAGCCCCTGTACCCCAGCTCCTGCCCCCTGCCCTTTCTCCCTCCACTGATAGGAACATACGTTCCCCTTAGATACCCCTTTCCTCTGTCCTCTGACTCTCCTCTCTTAAGCACTGGCATCTTTCCCACGAGACATCACTTGTCCCTGTAGAGACTGATGACTTAATTTTGCCCCCAAGGTGGCCAGAGATCATCTTGGACCCGACTTACCTCCCCCATTAAGAATCTCCCAGGAATGTGCTGCTTGGATAGTTTCATGGCTGGGGAATGCATCACCTGTGGACCAGCTCTTGATTTAAAGTCTGAGGATGTGAGAGAGCTATAAAAGAGGGAAAGACTTTGAGGTTACACATCCTCTCTCTGTACCTCCCCCGGCCTGAGCTGCTCACAAAGAGAACGCCTTTTCCTCCATACAAAGCACCAGAAAGTCTGGTGTGGTGGTGCATGCCGCTGGTCCCAGTGTTTGGGAGACTGAGACAGGAAGATTGTAAGTTCAAGGGCAGCCTGGGCTCAAACCAACTAACCATCCACTCCGCCTTGGTAACATTTTTTTTTTCAATTTAGTTTTATTTGTATGAATGCTTGACTTGCGTGTATATAAGAATAACACATGCGTGCCCGGTACATACTGAGGCCAGAAGAGAGTGTCGGAGCTCCTGGAACTGGAGTAACAGTTATGAGCCACCGTGTAGGTGCATGGAATGACCCCCAGGGTCCTCTGCAGGAGTAACAACTGCTCTCAGCTGGCTGGGCCATCTCCAACTAACACCGGAAAAGCCTCCCAGCCCATCGGAAAGACTGTAGACTTTGTCCCCAAACAGATTGGGGTTTTAATCCCAGCTCCTTCACGTCCCTGCAGGGACTTTGGTCGGGCTGTATTAGAAGCCCATGGTGCACTCTCATCAATGAGATGGGTGATGGTTCCTGTCTCCTGGGATGGTGTGGGGATCAGGCTGAGATAAACCCAAGTGAGTGTTTGGAATACCGTTTACTTTCTTTTACAACCTTGAGCTCAAATTAGGAAGTTCTGCTAACCATCCAACCTATTTTCTCGTCTGGAAGAGCCATTCATATTTATCATGTTTAGGAGAAGATGACAGTGATAAAGAGAATGTCCTGTTTCTTGTTTAACAGAGACTTACGGGATGCTTGCTCTGTGCTAGACCTTGTACAAGGGAAGAAAAAGTGACATAAACCATGTGTTGACGGGGCTTCTACCCATCCCTAAACATCCTCAGGCCAGGTGTCATGTCCTTCAGGGAGGTGGCTATGTCATGCCCAGCAAGTGTTACATTCTGGCTGAGAGATGGAGAGTCATTAAGCCGATCTAATCGGAATAGGAAAGCATGTTCCAGTTAGGGGGAACCTGTGTGATACTGGACCAGAGGTGTGAGGACACAGGATACTCAGGACAGAGCCAGAATAGGGCTGTTTGCCACTCAGGTATGTGGGAGCAGGTGAGAGGGGACGAGGCAGGCTTTGGAAATAGCAGAGACAGAGAGCAGAGGCCTTGATTGCTGGGGGGGGGGGGCTGTAGTCCGCTGACGCACAGTGTTGATGTACCATGAGTGGGTGGGGTGAGGACCGACGCCAGGCCTTCTTGGGTTCCCCTAAAGCTTCCTTTGCCATCATTCCCAGGAGGGGCTGAGATTCAGGGCTACTTCACTCTGAGTCTTAAATCCAGCATCCCACCCCTCCAGCAGGGCCCAGTTTTCCTCTGCCTCCCGGGTTCCGAATGGGGTTCCTTTGCCCTATACAGGCCGTTTCCTGTTGTTGGCGCTGGATCTCCCTGGTACTCCCAGCTCTCCACTCAGGTCCCTAACCTCTTGGCAGAGAATCAGCACGGTTCTTAATGGCCTCCTGTCGGAAGCGCGCCCCCCACCCTCAGCCCAAGCTGTGGGATGAGGACTCCCAAGAGGCTTTTTATATCTTCCTACCTCCAGATGTCCTCACACCACCCTGCGGCAGGCGCAGATATAGGAAGGAGGTGGTCCAGGGGCACAGCTAAGCAGTATGGAGACGGCACGAGCCTGCTGGGTACTATGAGGACTAACGAGGCAGAGGGGTTGAAGGCAAGGACTCCCACACTGCTCTGGTGGTGTCCTGTGAACCAATCCTTCACATTCCACACTGGGGGAGGGCGACGGCGTTGGGACCACTGTTGAATGGAGGGAGATCTTCACTGGACAGAGGTTGAGTGGCAGACAAGATCCAGAGCCCAAATTTGAACCCCGATGTCCCATCAGTTTGCTGTGTGACCTCAGGTCAGGCATCCTCCCTCTCTCTGCTTCCTTCCCTCCCATGAGGGGCAGATGTACTCTGCTTTTGAGGATGTCATTGTGAGGGTACCGACATGGGAACATGCGGAAATTATTAAAAACACAAGGGACAGTGTTCTTATCTGAAGATAGGAGGTGAGGAGTTCGGATTGTATGGTGCTGGCCACCTTGCCCCGGGCAGCGGGCCTGTCCTAGAAACTGGGTTACACTGGATTATTCATGTCCCTACACTTGTTCTTGGCCAAGTAGCCGAGCAGTGATGGTTACTCATGTTTCGTTGAATTGCCCCAGTTTTTGGTAAAGAAAGCTGCTGTTGCCTTCTGGGAAGGAATGACTGCAGTTTCTAAGATAGAATTACAGAGACTTCCATCCTATCGGAGTGGGGGGCTTGGAGAGCAGGCGGTGGCTACAAGGAGGGGGACCATCAGCTAATTGTTTTTGCATATCTGCTCTGTCACGTCCACTTGCAGTGACTGTGTGCACCTGGCCATCATCAGTTCACGCACCCACCAAGTCGGCCTGGGACAGCACAAGGCCCTGGGCTGTGGTCAGTGTGGCTGAGATTGACATGTCTCTGCCACAGTCTGATAGGCAAGCCTATGGGCAGGAAATGACAAGCGCAGTTCCTGTTGCTATGGAGACGTGGGGGGATGGGGATGGGGAACCTGGCCTGGGGATCTGAAGAGGCTCCTTGAGACCATGACATTCTTCAGTCTTCAAGCTACGGCCTGAAGAATGAGTGAGTGGAGCCCCGGCTTCCTGATGCAAGCCTGTAACCCTGACCTTGAAGAAACGGAGGCAAGAAGGTTGCCCAAAGTTTGAGACCAGCTGAGGGATGCATAGCGAAACTCAAAACTCAGTCTCCACCAGCACAGAAGTGAGAGTGGGACCAGGAGGGGCTTCAGACCATGGGGAGCTGTGCATGCAAGGTGAGGCAGCTGGCCTCTGGGAAGGCACTTGCTCATGAGGGGTGCCAAGGATGATGTCTGGCAGCTGCCAGAGCAGGTGCACCTGGGGAGGGTCATGTGAGGGGTTTGGGTCTTGATTCTAAGGACAGTCGGGAGCCACTCGGGAGTTTAGAGTGACGGCTCCTGCCCACCCCACTGCCCCCAGGCCCTTACATGTTTTAATCTTCTCTTCAAACCCAGGGACAAGGCTTCTTAGGTCTGGGCTTGTGAAAGCCGATGTCCGGAGTTCACTTTGGGAGCTGAGGGCTTGAACTAGGTAGCAAGAGCCTTTGACCCCTGGCTGCCACTTCATTTAGCCTTCCTGAGAAAGCCCCTGGGGGTGGGAGCAGGACCACTGGGCAACAGGCAGAGGTACTGGGGGCTGCTGGGACTGGACGCTGGCCAGGCTGAAAGGCTGGTGGCCTGGTTCCCTTGACAGGATTGATTGCCTTTGCTCACTATTCTCGGGCCCCACTGCTGTAGAGTGGCTGAGCTAGGTCTGGAACCCAATCCAGACCTCCCATCACCCTGGCTTCTGTGGCAGTCACTCTCTGCCTGGCACTACCCAGGCCCCCTGACTCGAGGTGTCCTGGGATTTCGGACCACGTGCTCCTGTGTGTAGGTGGCCCAGCCTCTGGCCCAGAAGAGGCTTCTCCAAGCCCACCTCCTAGCCTGCTCCTTTGCCTTCTTGGCTGGGATGCAAAGGCGGGTGTAGGCGGCAGCCAGGAGGACTCGGGTTACAGTGTAAACACATCATGTCAATATTTACTTCTGCCTGGAGCCAGAGCCTCCCCCTCCCATCTGCTGCCCCTGCAGGTGCTCCAGGAGAACCAAGGCCAAGTGCAGAGACCCCAATAAGATACTCGTCCTTCCTAGGCCTCAGTTTCCCCATCTGCAAAATGACATGGCTGGAACAGTCCACGACAATTTTTAGGCACCTCCTGTAGAGCAGTAAGCATAGCGAGCCTAGCTTTGTGTGGGCCTGGTTTGTACCTAGCCTTACCATTTCCCTGTTGGGATGGGGGCATGTTCATATGACCCTTGAGCTCTGGCCTTGTGCCCTGAGGAGGGGGTCCCACAGCCCCTGTTTTGGATAGTCATCGAGGAGAGCATGCTCAGCAGAGCTGGCACAGGAAGAGACAGGAGAAATGGCCGTGGAAGCCCTTGTTATTCCAAAGAAATGTTTTATGATTCTCTGAATCCAGACGCTGGCTTGCGTCACTTGGGAACTGCCGCCAAGGGTGGGGACTGTAACCTCAAGGCCTCCCGGTACTCTGAGGTCAGGAGCTGGGCTGGGGGAGCCCTGGGCTTGACTAGGACCCCCCCCCCCCCCAGTCAGACGGTGGAGCTCCTGATGAATGGGCTGAGGTCCAGGACTGGAACGACCACAATGATGTGTGGTGGGAAGAGGGGTGCAGAAGGTTGAGGCAGCTCATGGAGAGGGAGGAAGGACGCATTTCCTAAGCAGTTATTTTGCAGAAGTGAGTCTATTGAGCATGTGAGTAGTCCAGTCCCCTCTGCCCCGAGAAGAGGGACCGTAGGTGGCGCTGGCAGGCTTGCGAGTGAACAGCCTATGAAGGCAGGGCAGGGCAAAACAGGGTCCTGGGGATTGACTGAGTCTCAGGAGTCGGTCTTGGAGCCCAGGAAACCCAGGATCTAATCTGGTTCTATCACTTTTTAAAAGTTACTTAGTTAATTAATTGAGGTCCGGTCTTATGTAGCCCAGGCTGGCCTGGATCATTCTGTGTAGCCTAGATCACTCTATGTAGCTGAAGTGGGGGCCTTGAACCTCTGTTTCTCCTACTTCTGTCTCCTGAATGCTGGGGTTACAGGGACCATCACACCAGGTTTACACAGTGATGGGGATTGAACCCAGGACCTCATGCATGCTAGGCAAGCACTCTCCCCAGTGAGCTATGCCTCCATCCCCTTTTGTTGGGTCACTTTTTGCTCTATGCCTTCTCTCTGAGCTTGGTTTCCTCTCTAGTGTGGAACTGTTGGAACTTTTTTGTACAGTAGTTGCAAGAGTTAGAGTTAAAACAGATCCTGTTTCAGGAGCCCCGCTCAGTGTTGGGGAGTCCAGGGGTTCCACAAAGCCCAGCTCAGTGTTGGGGAGACCAGGGGTTCCACAAAGCCCAGCTCAGTGTTGGGAAGCCAGGCGTTCCACGGAGCTCAGCTTCTGTCACTGTCACTGCCCAACGGTGATAAGATGACACCGGTGACCGAGATGATGGACTCCTATAAGCTATAGGCAACGTCCCCAGGACACACACATCCTACCCAGCCTGGTTTTGCCAGGGTGTTCCTCTGCATAACATTTGGACCAAGATGGATGCCATTCTCCAGCTCCCTTGTCCCAGATGTGCTGGCTGTCCTTTCTGTCGCCTGGTTTGAACTTTATCAGTGTCAACTCCTACAAGCTCCTCGGGGCCTGGTTCCCATCAGCTTTGGTCACTACTGAGTGCCTCCGAGGGACTTTGCTCCTGGTGCCTGTTCCAGAATCTGCTCTTTGTTAAGCCGAGTTGTGTCATGTTGAGTAGATAAACTTTTAAATATCTGTGACTGACATTTGGGTTGCTCTAAGTTTGGACCCGATGCGACATTCTTGTTCATGTCCATACGTGTCTGACTTATGTGGCTGCCACACCATCCTCTGACGTAGATGTTCCATTTCAGAGCGTACCGTCCCCCTCCCTGTCACCAGCTCGGTGCTTGGCCTAGAACGTGCTTCCAGGGCCTGTTTGTTTCAGCCCGGCTCCTCCTCGATAGGCCTGCCCCTGCCCTTGGGGCCTGGCAAACCCTGGATTTGCTGCATTCTGCCAGCCCTGGATTCCACTGCACCTGGTGTTCCCCAGGTTAGAAAAGGGGTTCTGGCCCTGGAGGGGACCCCTCACCCTCGAGTCTGTCTTGCCACTGATTGGCTACATGACTTAGGCTTCTAGCTTCCCCTCCCCCAGCCTGAGTCTCCCACCCCCCTCTGCGAAGCATCATGTGGATAGAAGGTCCCCATCACTGGCTTCTGGTGGTCTCCCTATTTGGGGACCACTTGCTCCCGCCAGTAGGGCCTTCCTATCTCCAGGGTTGAGCCAAGATAATCTCTTAGCCCTGACTACCCTGTACCTCTACAGGAGGCCCCGGAAGAGAAGATGGCTCTCCTCTCTCGATCCCCTTCCTGATATCCTCCTTCTAAGTCTGCCCCACCCCAGCAGGTTTAGAAGAGATGGTCCTGGCATCAGGCCAGGCTGGGTGTGTGCTCTTAGCACTCCCAGGCTCTGGCCTCGGGCACTTCACCCCATCTTCACCTACAGGGTCGTAAAAGCCAAATGAGGTCCCAACTCATCCAAAGGACAAAAGCTCTGTGGTCGTCAAATCCCAGCCTGCAAGGAGCTCAGGTCCAGTGGAGCAAAGTCCCGACACCTGGGGCAGACCCACCTGCCAGCGACATCATTTCAGAGAGAAGGAAGACAGCAAAGCAGTCTTCCTTTGGTGGCACGGGGAAATGGCTGTGATGTGGTGGCTCTAGTTGGCAGCCAGAGCAGAAGGTTGGGAAGAGGGCAACAGGGTAAAGATGTGGAGGGGGACTTTGGGGCAGAAAGAACAGGAGGTACAGAGAGCCAAAGAACTTGGCATGTTAAGGTGGAAGGTGGCCGGCGTGGAGGAGCAGAGGCCTCAGGGGAAGGTATAGAAGGAGGTCGACAGGAAAGGGGCTAGTTGTGAGAGCCTTATCTGGAGGGGAAGTGAAGAATGGGCATTTCATTCCAAGAGCGATGTCAAGTCCCTGGAGGTCTTCAGTGCAGCGACTCCTTTGGGTTTGTTTTCGAAAGGCCCTGGCTGTTATGTGCGAGGTAGACTGAAGGGGGCAGTAGCGAGGCAGAGAGGCTGTGTCCAGCAAGAGATGTGCTCAGGCCTAAGGGCGTGGCTGTGCTTGTGTCTCCAGAGGCTAGGTTTTAGGTACTTTAGGAATGGAGGGGGTAGAGGATGGTCATGCAAAGTGCTTCTAGACCACCGTTCCTGGTCGGAAGGCTCAGTGGGCTGAACTTGTCACCACCAGCTAGGCGGACCCATCTTAAACCTACATGTGAACTCAGCCTTGCCATTCTCCCAAGAGACCCAGCACTCACCACGTGGCTCCCAGAAACCCCGAGGGCCTGAGCCTGCTTCCCCTGTCTTTACATTTCCTGCCTACTGAGAAATGAGGACAGGAGCAGCCGTGGCTAAGGGACACCCAGCCCTGTGCCCTCGGCTGTTGCTCTATTCTGGGCATTCCTGTGGCTTTGTGGTTCCTGGGTGGCACTTCTTTTTCCTCGAGTGTCTAGGTGGTCAGTGGACTTCTTCCTGAACTTCCAGGAACAGTGGGCAGGGTGGGGGAGACATACGAGGCCAAGAGAGTTCACAGAATTCTCTGGAAATGGGACGTAGGCGTCCTCTAGACGTACTTCCTCTTGGGGAGACAAAGACTAGAAAGAGGGCTGGGGAAACAGCTCAGTAGATCAGAATGCTTGCTGCTCAAAGCATGAGGACCTGAGTTCAGCCTCCAATACCACGTAGAAAGAGGGGCGTGGTCCAGCACTCATCTGTAACCCCAGTGCTGTGAGGGACAAGAGGCTCACAGGGCTTACCGGCCGCCAGCCTAGCTCCCGGTGCTGTGAAAGATCCTGCCTCACGGGAACAAGGTGGACCACGATAGAGCAGGACACCTGATGTCTTCCTTTGATCTCCACACATACATGGGAGCATATACCTACATACACATGTGTGTACACATACCACATACATGTACACCGTCAATATCATACTTACATGCATCAAAAAATAAAAACAAAACAGAACAGGCCCAGAAAGGACAAGAATCTTCCCCAGGCCACACAGCAAGTTCAGTATTGTGTCTTAGAACCCGATCCAGGGTCCTGATCCTGTGTTCTTTCTGTTCAGAATGTGGCTCCCGGAGCCAACAGGCATGGTTCTGGTCTCACCTGTCACTGAGTCCCAGCTGGGTCCTTTGGTGAACGAGCATCTCTGAGCCTTGGTTTTCTCTAACATAGGATGGTTAACACCTTCTGCTGTGGAGCATGGCTGAGGGCAGATGTCAAGTTCTCAGGCCTGTAGGCAGTGCACAGGGCAAGTCTTTACTGATGGGGACTATTTCTGTTGTGATGGTTCTGACCTAAGAGTGTGTGTGTGTGTGTGTGTGTGTGTGTGTGTGTGTGTGTGTGTGTGTTTGCGTGCGTGCGCACAGGCACGCGCACTTGTGGACACATGGAGACCAGAGGACAGCCTTGGGTGCTGTGCCTCAATCACTCTCTACCCTCCATTCCTTTTTGGTTCGTTTTTTTGAGAAAGAATCTCTCACTGGCCTGGAATTTGATGAGTCAGCTAGGTTGTCTGGCCAGCCAGTCCTAGAGATCTGCCTGTCTCTGCCTACCTAGCTTTGGGATTACATGTGTGCACCACCATGTCCAGTTTTTCTTTCTTTAATTAAAGTTCTATGTGTCTGTCTGTCTGTCTGTCTGCCTGCCTGCCTGCCTGCCTGACGGCCTGCCTGCATGAGTTTATGTACACCATGTGCATCTCGACGCCCACAGAGGTCGGAGGACGTTGAATCCCCTGGAAGTAGAGTTACAGGTGGTCGTGAGCTGCCTCATAGGGGTGCCAGGAACCGAACCCCAGTCCTCTGCAAGAGCAGCAAGTCATGGCTCCAGCAACCCCACCCACAGCGTTTCTTATGCGGGCTAGAATTCAGGGCTGCTTGCTTGTAAGGTGAACTCTTGATCCAGCGAAGCACCTCCCGAGCCCCTGCCCTCTGCCTTTGAAGAACTGGCTGTCCTTGTCCCCATGCTGCTGTCCAAGCCCAAGGGTGCAGGTAGATGGGAGGTGAGGAGATCCTTGTTGGCGGCCTGTCTGATTTTGCTTCTCCGTTATAATTGAGAGACCCCGATGCAGGCCCATAGTTTTCACCATCCCCTCAACATACACAGACAGGAAGACAGAGAAAGAAAGACCGACTCTCTCTCTCTCTCTCTCTCTCTCTCTCTCTCTCTCTCTCTCTCTCTCTCACACACACACACACACACACACACACACACACACAGCACACGCACACACATAGACAAACAAGGCTGAGGTGGCTGGAGCTGTGTCTCAGTGGCAAGCAGGCAGGCACTGAGGGTCACGCCAGAGTGAAAACAGAGTGGCTTGCCGCATCCTGCATTGCACCCCTTAGTGGCAGTGTGGTCTAGTGGTCGAGAGCAGGGGGCCATGCATTGATGGGAGCTTTAATCCCATATATGCTACTGATGTGTGAAGGACTTGCTTCAGGTGAGTTTTCCTCTCTGAGACTCATCCCTCCAGTCCCTGAGGTAGCAGCTGCACCTCCATCCCTCAGTGAGATCCGCCTGCCTCTGCCTCCTGAGTGCTGGGATTAAAGGCGTGCGCCACCACCACTGCCCTGCTTAAATTTTTCTTTGGATTTATTTATTTTATTCTTTGTGTATGAGTGCTTTGCCTGTATGGATGCATGTACATCACATGGGTGCCTGGTGCCTGTGGAAGTCAGAAGAGGGCATCAGATTCCCCTGGAGCTGGAGTTATGGATGGTTGTGAACCACCGAGTAGGTTCTGGGAACTGCACCCACATTCTCTGCAAGAGTAGCAAGTGCTAAGCTATCTCTCTAGTCTCAGGACCTGGATTTGAACTTGGGTGTTTTGGTTACAAAGTCCAAGTGCTTATTGTGTGTCAGGTCTGTGTGTGGAGGGCAGAAGACAGTGTGTGACAATCTGTTTTCCTCTACCATGTGGACCCTGGGGATTGAACTCAGGTTGTTAGGCTTGGTAGCAAGTCTTTTTACTGGCCGAGCCATCTTGTGGTCTCCTGAGCCCAAGTTCTTAAGCACCGTGTTGTCCATTGCTCTTCTGCAGTTTACCCCCACCCCCACCCCCACCCCCCATGCTCCCCCACCCCCAGTAATTCTGTCCGGACAGCTGTGTGGACTCTGCTTCACCTGCCATGGGAAGAAAGTCCTAGCGGGTCTCCTGAAATTTCCTTTCAGCACAGCTCTGGGATGAGCAGATTCAGACCCCCGGGGAAAGGAATCAGAAAGTTCAAACCCTAGCAAACCCAGGCGCTGCCCCGGAGGCAGGAATGGGGTTCAGGATAGATGCATTTAGAAGCTGGGGGTGGGGGGTGGGGGACACGGACTTAGAAGACGGAAAATGGTGCCACTCTAGCAGAACTAACATCTGCTGAGTGCCAGGCGTGGGGTTCTCCAGGAAGTGAGAGCCCTGTGGGAGCGCCAGACAAGCCAGCGGGAAGTTGTTGGATGGTATTGTGTGGGTGTGTGGGCAACTTTGAAGGACCAGAGGAACGGGTAACTTACTGGCCCAGGGATCTGGTGTTTGAGCTGGCTCCTGAAGTCTACCAGTTAGGCCGAGCCAGGAGTGGCAAAGCCAGACCCTGGACAGCCTGGCTCCAGAGTCTGTTCTCACCCACGCGGCATGCTCAGCTAGATGGGACTTGTGTCCTGGTCTCCACAGAGCCTTGGGCAACTCACCAGTTGCTTTCTCTTTTACCTTCTGCCTCTGTCCTTTGAAAACTCCTGCCCCTCTGCCAGGGAGAGTCTCTGCCTTTGTAGATACCTAGGACTTGGGGTGTCCCCAGGACACACTGACTCCACCCCTAGAGTGCCTGTGGCTACAGAAGGGTGTTTCCTGTTCTGGTTTGCAGGCACCCTCTGCCCCATGCCCAGCACCTCCTCTCCTCATAGCAACAAAGTCATTAGCTGCCCATAGACACAGGGGAGCTGGTTCTGAACTGATGAGCCCAGTGTCCAACGTCACAGGCCTAAGCAAGTGGAAGAACTGGACCCTGGCCCTGGACAGGTCCAACTCTGAGGCTTGTGCCATGCTTTTAAGCTAGTAGGAAAAACCTGGGATGTGACGGGCCCTACACCTTTCTGGTGGACAGTGTTGACAGCCTGCACCAGCCCTGCCCCCATCCCCCCCACCCCCCACCCCCCTGGGATTTCAGGACCATGGGAGCAGACTGTATGGGTTTCTCAGGTTCTCCGGAGTGTGAGAGGACAAGTAAGAGGGATACTGGCTACCAGGGCATCTTTACTTTCTTTCCAGAGATCCTGACTCATTAGGGTTTGAGTGGGGTTCAGAAGCCTGCCTTTCCAGCAGACCCCCTGACTCTCACCTTGAGGGGGGGTGATAGGTCTCCCTTGGGGAACTCCAATTGGTTACACAGCTGCGCGTGTCCCAGCACTGTCCCCCGGTGTTCCATTTCATCATTTCCACCATCAGAATATCACCCAGTTGGGGGAAATGATGCCAAGAATTTAGGGAATCTTGAGAGAGGTTTCTAACAGTCATGAAGACCTTGGGCATCTTCAGTCAGCTGGGGAAACAGTGGCTCGGAGAGTTTAGGCAATTTCCCCAAAGCCAGCTTTAATACTTAATCCTGACTGTCGGCTTAATGAGATGCAGAATCATCTAGCAGGCAAAACTCATCATGTCCGTTAGAGAGTTTCTACATTGGGTTAATTGAGGTGAGAAGAGCTAACCTGAATGTGGACAGCGCCATCCCATGGCCTGGAGGTCCCAGACCGAATTAAAAAGAGAAAGCAAGCGGAGCAAGTCTTCCTGACCCTGGATACAATGTGACTAGCTGCCACTTGCCCTGACTCTTGCCTTCCTGCTGGGTGTGTGTGTGCACACACACACACACCACACACACACACACACACACACACACACACACACACACACACACACACACACGAGTGCGTGTGCCCATACGTGCAGACCCCACAGAAGCCAGAGATGTTGACTCACCCTGGAGCTGGAGTTCCAGGTGGTTGTCTGCTGCCTGACGTGAGTGCTGGGAACTGAACTCGGGTCCTTGTAAGAGCAGTGCCTATTCTTAACCACTGAGCATCTGAGCCCCTGTATCCTGCCTTACACTGTAAGCCCCCCTTCAGTTGCTTTTGGCCCAGCATTTGATTGCATCATCAAGAAATGTACCTAATTCAGTGGCTGAGCAGAGAGTAAACCTGTGTCCCTGAGCTGCCAAGGCCACCCAGCTCCCTGTTGCCTCCTGCACAGAGTCTGGAAGACACAGACTCCACTCCGCCAACCACGGCTAGAGCAGAGTGTAGGGTGACAGTGAAGGACCGCCTAGATTGCTCAGCGGGTAAAGGCGCTTGCCACCAAACCTGACAGACAGTGTGAGTTCTGTCCTGGGGATGTCCAACCTACACACGCACGCACACGCACGCGTACACACACACACACACATGCACACACCGCACGCACCTCCACAGAAATAGGTAATAACAGTCATGGTGCCGGCCAGTATGTGCTAACCACGGGCGGGCTGTCTAGTAAAGAGCGGTGTGTACTGTCAGCATCGTGCCTGAGGAGCCATCCTACCCCGGGGCAGAAAGGTTGCTCCCTGATGGGAGGCGCCTGTTTGGAGACGTTAGAAAGGTGGGTTAAACTTTAATGAGAGATGATAGCTCACATAGGCTCTTGGCCAAAAGAATATTTGCATGTGTAAAAGCCCTGAGGTAAGTGACCTATATAGTATTGTTCCCTAGAGCCGGAATCAATAGTAAGAGTGACCTAGGGTGAGGCCAAGAGGTGGCCAGGGGTTGGGCCCTGTAAAGCCAGGTGAGAGCTTTGAACTTAACCCCCAGAGCAATGAACGCAGAGCCTTGTATACATTCAAGTCAGACTTGATTTCTTCAATACCAAAGGTCGTATTTAAGCCCTGAGAGCGAAAATTGGCAGAGCGGAGGCTTCCCTTGAATTGGAAGGATCGCCAGCTGGGCAGTGACAAGATCTCCCTTGCATTCTGTCCTGCTCATTCTGGCCCATGGGCAGAGATGGCTTGGGGGAGGGGTCATGCCTGGGATTGGCAAGGTGGGGGAGGGGGAGGACAGATATGGGGGGATGGAGTTGACAGGGCATAGCGTTGTGATTGATGGAGGCAGGGTGAGATCCAGCCCATTGCTTTGACAGGTGGCCGTCCGGAGCCAAGAAGGGTTGTGTGAGTGAGTGGCTGGTGTCACAGCCGAAGCAGCGGAGCCCAGATGCTGGGTGGAAGACGGCCCCCCTGCCCAGGCCTTCCAGCTAACCCCTGACTGGGATCCACATTGCTGGCAGCTGCTTTTCTGGAGTCCTCTTCCAGGCCTCTGGTGGCTCCCCGCCACTCCCCCATCCCTGCAGCGCCTGGGACTCCAAGGCAAGGAATGCAGCTGCGGTGAAGACAGAGGTTTTGTCTTTGAAGCAGCCAGTGGGGGAGGGCAGCACTCTGACCTCCAGATTCTTTCCCTGTGACCTCTCTGACCCTGGAGAGACCCTTGGGACCTGGGAGGTCCACAAGAAGTGGAGATGGCCACTAGCTCCTCAGTGCGCAAATAGCCCTTCCCTGGGGGGTGGGAAGGATGCCCCAGGCAGGGGTCTACCATGATGCCTCTGCCACAGAAAGGAGCTGCAGGGCCGAAGTCTGAGCTTATGGCGTCTCCTCAGAGGCTAAGACGGCCCCTCCTCTGACTCTCCAGAGTGGGAAGACCCTGGCAGCCACTTCTCTGTTCCCGCCCTCTTCCCTGGTTGGGCCTCTTTGGCCACTGTTATCTGAGGGCTTAGTTACCAGAATGTTCGACTGGGAAGCTGCTCCTTCCCTTGGGGCATTCACTCCTTCCTGGGAGCCACAGTTGGGAATCCCCCCCCC